CAAGATTAGGACCTGGGGGGTTAGTGTAAGGAGAGCACTATGTCTCTAAAAGGGAGCAGTGATAATGAGCAAGATCTAATTATGGATCAAACTGGGAACCAGAATTTTTTTTTGTGGGGAACTATCTAGTCAAAGGCACAGTGGAACATCCATGTCTTTAGTTGTTTTCGGAAGAGACAAGGAGAGAGTTCCAGAGTTGGGACGCCACCACCAAGAAGGCCCTCTCTCTCATCCCCATGTTTGTGACATTGGTGGGATCGAGAGAAGGGTCTCCCCAGAAGATCTTAGAGATCGCGTAGGTTCATGTGGAAGATGTGGTCACGAAGATAAGCTGGATAAGATAAGCAAGCTGGAGCCTCCTTATTAAACTTATTGTTTTTGAGACAGTTTCAGGAGCAATGCATCACAGTTGTATAACCAGGAGGTTATCAAAGCATGAATCACTACGGACAGCTATTTCTGCCCAGAGAAACGGGACTCTGGTGAGGACCAAGGTGATAGGACATTAGGGCAGACTGGGAGAGTATATGTTTGACATACAGAAGGGCCCAAGGCAAGCAACACATTATCATGCACACCCACTGAACCCACAGAAGCCAACTGTACTAGCAATTGAATACAAACATTGACCATAGATATGTGAAAACATCTTTACAATCCCACCAGAGGGCAACTGGTAGACTTGTGGAAATGCAGAAGAGCAGGTTGGCTAGAACATGCAGGTCTGTTCGTCCCCAGAAAGAAAAGCCCAAAGGCTGATAGTTATCTGGTTCAGACAGCTCTGATTTTGCATTTGCCTCACTCTACATCACAGGGTTGAGGAACAACCCTGCAAAGCCTTAGTTCCAGTTTCTGGCCTCTAAGTTTTAAAGGGTTCAGATATACACTTTTTGCAAAAGATAGAAAATGACTCGGCAACACTGAGATTTATTAGTAAGAACAGGTTATTGAAAGTATGGATTATGCGGAGATCTTGAAGAGAGAGACATGACTAACCACTCTAAGGAAGACTGGAATTCACTTATTTTTCTCCTTTCTTTTTTGCTCAATATTTGTGAATGTTTATTTTATTTTATTGCATTGCTTTTATTTTATTTGTCTCCAATCTCTGTAATTTTAAAATATATTTTAAAATCTTACATTTTTTTAAAAAAATCATATAAAAAGGTTCAATCAGAAGGGGAAGTGAAATCCTGGGAAACTACCACTACCAAAGGCAGGTAGGTAACACCCAAACAGATGGACCAAAGGAACTAAATAGGCATGCAAATCATCCAGCCTTCCCAATGATGTTGGTCTGCACTCCTCATCATTCCACATTCTTACCTATGAAAACTGGGCCTGCAGGGATTTGCAATCTAGCAATAGCTGGAGGATCACATGCTTCTGACAGATCAAGACTTCACAGGTAAATGTGGGACATGTGGCCAATCAGCATCAGCGGGTGCTCGAAAGAGAAAAATCTATTAATGAGAAGGAATATCCAAGTGAGGGAAGGCTGCTGTAGCTTGCTTTTGCCTGAGCTTACTGCAGTGGTTCACAACCTGTGGTCTGTGGACCACCAGTGGTCTGCAAGAACTAAAATATAGTCTGTGGCCTCACTGTTATTACACCATTGCAATGAGAGCGACACCCTCCTATAGTGCTGAGGCTTATTGAATATGGTTTTCTGTGGGTGAGCAGATTTATTTATTTATTATTTCCTATATTTATACCCCGCCCTTCTCCCCCTGAAGGGGGACTCAGATGGTGACTACTAGATGGCATATGTTCTGTATCAGAAACTACAGCTGATGTGGTCTATCCAGGGGAGCATTTGCACAGCTTAGGCTCATGCGCCAGCTGCGCCCGTACCTTGGGAAGTCTGACTTGGCCACGGTAGTCCACGCTCTGGTTACATCCCGTTTAGACTACTGCAACGCTCTCTACGTGGGGTTGCCTTTGAAGACAGCCCGGAAGCTTCAATTGGTCCAACGTGCGGCAGCCATGATACTAACAGGAGCGGGACGCAGGGAGCATACACCCCCCTTGTTGTACCAGCTCCACTGGCTGCCGATTTGCTACAGGGCTCAATTCAAGGTGCTGGCGTTGGCCTATAAAGCCCTAAACGGTTCCGGCCCAAGATACCTATCCGACCGCATCTCGACCTACGAGCCCACCAGGACTTTGAGATCGTCCGGGGAGGCCCTGCTCTCGATCCCGCCTGCCTCACAGGCACGCCTGGCGGGGACGAGAGACAGGGCCTTCTCGGTGGTGGCTCCTCGGCTGTGGAACACCCTTCCCGTGGACATCAGACTGGCTCCTTCCCTGATGATATTCCGCAGGAAATTAAAGACTTGGCTGTTCAAGAAGGCGTTCGAACAAGAAGTGCAATAATTGGTAATGACGACAGGAATGGAACAACGGAAAATGATACTGGATTGTGGTTTAAACGATGAGACGACACGAATGGCTTTTTGTATTATTGATATTGTTGATGTTTTTGATGATGATGTTTTTGGTTATCGCTAGATTGATATTTTAGATTGTGTCTTGAATTCTTTGAACCTTGTCCTTTCTATGTTGTACACCACTGTGAGTCGCCCCCGGGCTGAGAACAGCGGTATATAAGCAAAGTAAGTAAGTAAGTAAATAAATAAATACCAATGCAATTTTCTGAATCAGCACCCCAAATAACCAAACCAAATCTAAACTTGGCCAAAAACTGATTCGTAGTAATGTTGGAGAGTGATCCTTGGCCAAAGTGGTCCCTGGTCAAAAAAAGGTTGGGAACTACTGGCTTTCTGGCAAAGTGATCCCAGTTCTCTCTATTGTTCAGTTAATAATAATAATAATAATAATAATAATAATAGTGCCATCACACCCAGACACTATAAAGTTAAAACTAAGATGTGCTTCTCTCTTTATCCAGATGAACTGTGGGTGCCTTACTTAGAAGCTTAGGATTCTCAGCAACTGAGGCCACTCCAGGTTTGAACATCAAACAGAACATTTATTTCTCAAAGTCCTTGACAGACTTGGCACAGCTTGTTGAAGTTACAAACACAAACAGTCAACTTGTGAAATTATATAGATGTTCCTTCCTTCTTTCTTCTTCAGCTGCTGAGTTAACTTTCCCCAGCGGTAGAAAAATCCTGGGATTCTTTACCCTAATCCTGAGCTGCTATCTTTTAGAAAGAGCAGGTCTTCCCCTATCCAAGTTCAAGGTTAGTTTGGGGATGAAGTAATGGAGCCTCTGCCAATGGCAGAAAAATCCTGAGATATTCTCTGCCCTAGCGCTGAGCTGCTATCTTTAGAAAGAGCAGGTCTTCCCCTATCTGAGCTCAGCACCAGTTTCCAAGGCAAAAGGGTCATTGTACTCATGATGGCCTGTCCAAGCTGCCTAGCTTGACCACCAGCACGTTTGAGGCTTTTTCTAAACTGAAGAAGGCAGGAGATCACATCCCCAGGAAGAAAGTATCTAGACCAAAAGATACTTTTTTAAACCAATAACAGCAAAAGGCTTTGGAAGCTGGCTTTAAGCCCTAATGTTTGACTATTAGGGTGCTGCTAAGACTGTAGCAACCCTGAGGGAAATGCAAAGGATACTGTTTCATGCAACTAAGGGGCAATGCAAACCAAGCTCCTGGAAGACGGAACAATAACAACAACAACAACAGCAACAACAAACAAACAAACAAAAACCAAAGTTTTGGAGCACAATACTCTTGACATCACGATCATGTTAAAAACAAAATATGGATCGTCAATGTTGCAATCCCGGGCGACAGCAGGATTGAAGAAAAACAACTGGATAAGCTGACACGATACGAGGATTTAAAGATCAAACTGCAAAGACTCTGGCACAAGCCAGTAAAGGTGGTCCCAGAGGTGATTGGCACACTGGGTGCAGACTCTAAAGACCTTGGCCTGCACTTAAACACAATCGGCGCTAACAAAATTACCATCTGTCAGCTGCCAATGGCCACCCTACTCAGATCTGCAAGCATTATTCGCCGATACATCACACAGTCCTAGACACTTGGGGAGTACCCGACATATGATCCAATACAACAGCCAGCAGAGTGATCTTGTTTGCTGTGTACTAATCTTGTTGTGTTTCTAATAATAATAATAATAACAACAATAATAATAACAATCATCATCATCATCATCATCATCATCATCATCATCATCCTTTATTTGTATTCTGCCCTATCTCCACAAAGGGAATCAGGGCAGATTCCAGCAAACACAGACAATGTTTGGAAACAACAAACACAGATAAAAGTAAAGGTTTCCCCTTCTGGCTCTTGAGGAGTCATGTTCATCTCCAACTCTGGGGGTTGGTTCTCATCTCCATTTCTAAGCCAAAGAGTTGCATTGTTTGTAGACACCTCCTAGGTCATGTGGCCAGCATGACTGCATGGAGTGCCATTTACCTTCCTGCTGAGGTGGTACCTATTGATCTACTCACATTTGCATGTTTTCGAACTGCTAGGTTAGCAGAAACTGGGGCTAACAGCGGGAGTTCACCCCGTCCCACGGATTTGAACCGCTGACCTTTTGGTCAGCAAGTACAGCAGCTCAGTGGTTTAACCCACTAGGGGCCCTAACTCATATAATCTGTATCAAAAATGATACAGAGGAGAAATGCCTCTAGAACATGGCCCTATAGCCTGAAAAAACCCACAAGAACCTGGCCCTAACTCAGTTTGCAGCAATCCAAGTAAAATGAGGGCAAAGGGGGCAAACAGTAATTTTTTAAAAACTGGGACATTTACGAGCAGCTGAAAAAAAAAGTGGGTTGGCAGAGGATTAATTTGGATTGTTCCAGCTGAACAAGGATGGCTAGAAGATATGTATCTCCTCCCCTGAACTAGGATACATCAATGAATAATGGATAAAGAAAGTTTCCTTTTCATAGCAGAAGTGGCAATGAAGTAAGAGTCCAAAATCTTGGATGGGCACCAGGTAGTGTTTGCACTTTGCTAGGGGTGGGGCCCTGAGCTTCCTTTCTTCTTCTGCAACTAAGGAGGTGGTAGTAAATCTCCTTGGCAGTTTTGCTTTCTGTCCTTTCCAGTCAAGTCATATGTGCCTAGCCGAGAAGAAGCATGAACCTAAACATTGTCCTCCTCACTCTTGGAATGGTGATAGCTCACCATATATCTGAAGGTAAGTCCCAGCTTAATTTGCATCTGATCTGTTTGAAAAAAAGGCTTTAATTAAAACCAGTGCCTAGAAAAGTTGTTGCTTGAAGTCATGCATCAGAAATCCTAGGTTTGTATGTAAAGCAGTGGAGAGATTGTGCGGAAAGCTCTTTGGTATTAATAAATGCATAAATAAGAATGATTGTCCACCTGAAGGAGGAAGGAAACTGCAACAGAAAGAAATGTGAGAACTGGACAAAGGTCATCAGTGCAGGCTATCTGTATCCAGAAAGGTTTGCTTTAAAATAGAACACCAATAACGGGGTGTCATTTTTGTCTTTTGGGTACGAAACTTTGGTTGAGCTGATGTAATGAAGGAGAAGTTGAGGAAGCAGGTTGATCCGACAACAGCTGGGAGAAGCTGCAAATTCTATTTCTCCGTGTTTGTTTAACTTTTGCAAGCCCCCTGAGGAAAAGGAAGTATATCACTAAATAAATAAACAACAGCAATGGACTCTCATTTGAATAATACTCAAAATTAATACGTTGGGAAGATTTCCTTGAATTACACTTTTGTTATCCTTCAAGCTGCAGTCTTGCACAAGCATGAAAAATTAGGTATGCAAGATTGTCACATCTGCCAGACTCCAAAAATACCATCTTAGGTGCAAAGGACTCTGAGCATATTGTAATTCTTGGAATGAAATATGGCATATATACATTGACTGGGGTTAGGGATACAGGGCCCCCGTGAAAGTGAAAAACCATAAACCAATAAAATAGTATTTTTTCCTTTGTAGGAATTTCTGGAGCCCCCAGTAGTGCAGTGGATTAAACTGCTGAGCTGCTGAACTTGCTGACCGAAAGGTTGGCGGTTCAAATCTGGGGAGTGGGGTAAGCTCCCAATGTTAGTCCCAGCTTCTACCAATCCAGCAGTTCGAAAACATGCAAATGTGCGTAGATCAATAGGTACCACACTATTGCAATAGGTACCACACTCCATGCAGTCATGCCAGCCACATGACCTTGGAGGTGTCTACGGACAATGCTGGCTCTTCGGCTTAGAAATGATGAGCACCACCCCCCAGAGTCGGACACAACTAGACTTAATGACAAGTGGAAACCTTTACCTTTAAAGGAATTTCTGGGTCTTTTAGCATGACTCTATGGTCAACTTGCATTGGACACTGAAGGTTCCAGAAATTGCTAGAGTGATCTTTGACCATTGAGTTTCACTGGAGGACATATAGATTTGTAGAGAGGACATGTAAATCAAATCAGTGAATAAGCAAATCTACAAAAGTCAAACTTGCCAACGTAGGAGGGGTGACTGTATCTGTGCATGCATACATTTGCCTTTGCTTTCCTCAAAGCCTGGCTGAGCAGAGATTCAAACCCCGGATTCTAAGTCATAGTACAATACTAAAAGCATTATTTGTTTTCTGTTTTCTGTTTCATTTTATTGGCTCATAAAGGTAAAGGTTTCCCCTGACATTAAGACTTGCCGAGTCCGACTCTGAGGGTGGGTGCTCATCTCCATTTCTAAGCCAAAGAGCCAGCATTACCCATGGACACCTCCTAGGTCATGTAGCTGACATGATTACATAGAGTGCCGTTACTTTCCCGCCGAAGCGGTACCTATTGATTTACTCACATTTGGATGTTTTCCACCTGCTAGGTTAACAGAAGTTGGGGCTAACAATGGGAGCTCACCCCATCCAGGGATTCGAACCACTGACCTTCCAGTTAGCAAGTTCTTCAGCTTAGCGGTTTAACCCACTGCGCCACCACAGCCCATACCAAAACCTAAATACAGGGCTAGATCTATCCGTGGCATTGTATGTCTCATTTCTTCATATGGATGTGAAAGATGGACAGTGAAGAAAGTGGATAGGAAGAAAATCAACTCATTTGAAATGTGCTGGAAAAGAGTTGTATGGGTATTCCAGATTGCTAAAAAGACAAATAATTGGGTCCTAGAGCAAATCAATCCTAAACTCTCTAGACTGATATACTTTGACCATATCATGAGGAGAGAGGAGTCACTAGAATAGACAATGATAAAACAAGGCAGATGGCAGTAAGAAAAAAGGAAGACTGCATTTCAGATGACAGTAATAGACTCGGTTAAAGGACGGCACAACCCAGGGTTTGTAAGAACTTATCAGGATTGTTGATGAGGTGACTTGGAAGTCTCTCGGGGCCCTTACACACAGCCATATAACCAAGAATATCAAGGCAGATAATCCAGAATATCTATTTTGAACTGGATTATCTGAGTCCACACTGCTAGATAATCCAGTTCAATGCAGACTTCATACAGCTGTGTGGAGGGGTGCTCATCTATAGGATCACCATTAGGCAAAATCAACGTAATGCCACTTAACAACAACATGTTTCTATTAGGCCTGTTTGATCAAGAAAAAATTTGTTTCTAAAATCGATTTGTAATTGGGGTGTTTTTTTGTTTCGATATTTAAAATAATTACAAAACTTTCCAAAAAAAAGTTTCGGTATTTACGAAATTTCGTAAATATTAACAAAACATTTTGTAAAGATGGGGCCTTTTTTTTTCAATATTTTTTAAATATTTTTTTAAATTTAATTATTAAATAATTTAGTAGAATAGGGAGGAGAAATTAAGGGAAGGCAGGCACTCACTCTGGCGGGCCCTCTCGCTCGCCTCTCGCTCGCCGCTCGCCCTCTCGCTCGCCCTCTCGCTCGCCGCTCGCCCTCTCACTCGCCCTCGCTCGCCCTCTCACTCGCCCTCTCGCTCGCCCTCGCCCTCTCGCTCGCCCTCTCGCTCGCTTGCTCAGCCGGCGCGGAGAGAGGAGAGCTCCCAGCAAGCCAGGCGGCCATCTTACGTATTTCCGAAATGGACGGAAATACAAAATTTTTTGGCGCCTGCCGTTTCGATATTTAAAAACCCTTCCGGGTTTGAAAATATGTTTTGTTATCGTTTCGTATATGCAAAAATTAACGAATGTTTAACGAATTAACGAATTAACGAACGAAACCGCACAGGCCTAGTTTCTATATGTCAATAAAAATGCCCTGGAGATAAATAATAAGCAGATTTTTATGAACAGAGCAAAGCTTTTGGTAGTATTAGCCACTCCTTCAGGACATCACTAATACAGTGGGATAAGGATGTGGCTTTTGATATTCAAATTTTGTGGTTTCTTTTCTCGGCAACCTTCCACAGATTATAAGTGAAATATCCAAGAGCTTCCTGGTGGGTAAACAACGTTCAGGAAGACTGCTGTTCAAGACTACAATGCCTCCAAAGACCAGTTCAGCAGATCGGAGATTAGCTTAATTTAATCCTTCCCACACAGGGATGTTGGAGGTTTCTCCTGCCCTGCCCTAACTTTGTGCCAGAATTCTGACTTCGCATCTGCACTGGAGAATTAATGCTATGGAATCATGGGAGTTGTAGGAGTTGTGATTTCACAAGGTCTTTAGCTTTCTCTGCTCAAGAGTGCCGATGCTTCACCAAACTACAAATCCCAAGAATCCATAGCATTTTAGCTATGGCAGTTAAAGTGGAGTCAAATTGTAGCAGCTAAAGTGGGATCATAGCATTATAATTGTGTGGTGTGTAAGGAGCCCAGTTCTGTTGGCAGATTGTTCTGGCAGCATCTTCCTGTCATCAGCTGGCCAGTTCTTTTCCTCTGCAGGCAGTGCATTACTGTTAAGGAGGCATATGCAACACAGAATAACTTGAAGTGAATGCTATGTACTGGACTGTGCTGTGAGTTCTTACCGCCGTCCACAACAGGGGACTCAGGGCAGATCACAATTCACATATACGTATATGGCAAACATTTGATTCCATAGATAAACAACATATATAGACACACACACGGAGGCTATTTAACTTTCCAGCTTCATAAGGGTATGCTTTTTGAATTCTGGCCAACAGGGGAGCTGTCGCTTCACCTGTGACACCGATGGAGTAATTCCTCATTGTCGAAGGCTTTCATGGCTGGAATCACTAGGTTCTTGTGGGTTTTTTCGGGCTATAGAGCCATGTTCTAGAGGCATTTCTCCTGACGTTCGCCTGCATCTATGGCAAGCATCCTCAGAGGTTGAGAAGGTCTGTTGGAAGTAGGAAAAATGGGTTTATATATCTGTGGAATGGCTGGGGTGGGGCAAGGAACTCTTCCCTGCTGCAGTTAGGTGTGAATGTTTAGCTGATCACCTTCATTAGCATTTGAAGGCCTGCCTGAGTCTGGGAAAATCTGTTGCTGGGAGGTGTTAATCTGTGCCTGATTTTTTCCTCTCTGTTGTTTAGCTGTTATAATTTTAGAGTTTTTACAGTAAAAACCACAACTTCACAGACCTTCTCAACCTCTGAGGATGCTTGCCATAGATGCAGGCGAAACGTCAGGAGAAATGCCTCTAGAACATGGCTCTATAGCCCGAAAAAACCCACAAGAACCTAGTAATTCCTCATTCTTTGCACACTTCTGAAAGGTTTTATGGTGTCGTAAATTAGTTAAATTAGCCTCCTCGCATAAAGCAGTACCTAAATAAAGCATAATCAGTCCCAAACTGAGTCCCCTTTCGGGGGGGGGGGGGAGAAGTCCGGGGTATAAATATAGGAAATAAATAAATAAATAAAGCAGTACCTAAATAAAAAGTACCTCTTCTCCATGGAGGGGATAGCAGCAGTAGTAGTAGTAGTAGTGATGACCCCCCCCCAAGTAGCAGAATCTCCCGCCTTCAAGTTGGTTTGAACCGCAGCAGGGAGTTCCGCAGTTCCGGAGAGCAAAGTTGGGTCCGACTGATGAAATGTGCCCCAGCCAGCAGCTCAAAGCCAAGGACTGCATGAAGCCTTTCTTTCACTTTCCCCTCTCCCTCTCTTTGTAACAAATCCCTTAATAAAACACTTAAGTTTTGAAACTTTAAATCCTTTCCGCTTGATACTTTGTGTCCTTTTACTGACTGCAACTTTTCTAACTCACAATAAACCTTTTTCTGAGCTCCGGGGAACCGTGAGCTCACTGGGGACGCCTTCCC